CAGTGGACGCACCCTTATTGTGGCAGCTGGCTTTATCATTACATGTATTGGACGACATGAAAGGAGTTCAGAGCGTGTTCGACGATAATTTCTTTATGTGGGTCAAGGACGGCAACATCATGATGGTATGGACGGTACACGTGGACGACATTATCGTATTGGCGAAACAGGCATGGCTGTCATGGGGTCTCAATTCCATGGAGAAGCGATTCGGCAAGATCAAGAGACACGAGCTGCCTTTCACGCACATGGGTATGAGCTATGAAGTATTGGGCGAGAGACACTTATTCATACATCAACATGTGTTCACGGAAGGACTGAAGAAGATCGAAATACCCTTCAAGCTCAAGGACAAGCTCGACCATGAATGTGACGCCAAGTTGACGCACGATTTGAGATCAGTACTTTGGTCACTGTTGTGGCTTTGCCAGACACGAGAGGACATTGCGACGTGGTACAGCTACAGCAGATCGTGAGGAAAAGCAATATCGGACACCTGAAGCAGGCCAACTTGATCGTGGACCGCGCCAAGAGGAACATGAAGATGGCTGGATTGCATTTCGCACCATTATCTTACCCGGTCAGGCTGGTATCAGTTGGAGACGCAGGTCACGGCAACACGAAGACGTCCTATCCCCAAGAAGGATCAGCGGTATTTCTCATGGAGGACCACATGTATCAAGTACGTATCGACAAGAAGGACCTAGTGGATCCAAGTGACAACTACCTCCTCGGAGGCTCAACCCATCCTTTGATGATTGCTTCTGGGAAGTCCAAGCGTATATCTCATTCCACGTGCAACGCAGAGACGAATGCCGGCTACAAGGTGAACCAAGCGGCCCAGTTTATTGCATTACGGATGAGCGAGATTATCATGTGTTCAGAGACACAACATAAGGCAAAGGACATGATGGAGATTTTTGATCGTTCATTGTATCAGGTAAGAATCGACCACTGCACGGACTGCATGGACTTCTGGCAATTATGCTGTGGAGTGAAAGGCGTACCTTCGGATAAATCAAGCAGGCTGGCAGTACTGAGCATGCGCGAGGAGAGGCTCAGCGGACGCATTCGCAACTTCATCCACCTGCCCACCGAAGTGGTCATAGTCGACGGGCTCACCAAGACGGGCACGTTCAAATTACTCATGGAACATCTGACGACGGGCCGATGGCATGTGAGGCCACCCAAGGGCAAGTACATCACGATACGACGTATCATACATCAACAGGACAGTTACTCAGAGCAGGACTTGCTAGATCTCAACGAGTAGAAGCTGTGAGGAGAGAAATTCGAATGCAACCACAAAGGCAGCCAACGAATGATATTCAATGGATAGGCCAATGTACTATTGTCAAGGTGAAGTTCACGATGGAGGTACTACTACGGTATTTCACGAACATCGTCGACCACCTGTACTTTGTGAACGAGGCTTGATTGCCTCTTCTGTTTGCATGCTGCTGGCTGCCTGCTTGCTTGCCTGTCTCTTAGACGTGAGGTTTGAGAGATTGTGTATGTGTATTGTAGGTGGAGAATTAAAAGCACCTATATCTGTTTTGAGGTGCACCCGCAGCGAATATCATAATTAAACCCATGATATCCGGGACACTAGAACCGGAGCGAAGATTTGGGTCTGATATAGGGCATGTGTAGTATCTGTTCTCATCAGTTGAAAGCATTGCTTTGCTTCGCTTAGAGGACTGTATGACTGTAACAACATCGGGGCTCAAGCTCTTTCAAAACAGAGCGATCTCCGCTCCGGAGGGGGGGGAGGGGTTAGGGGGGGAGGGTTTTGCGGGGGGGAAGAGGGGGGAGGGGTCCAGCAGGGGGGATTTTCGAAGGGGGGGACCCCCGGGTTCCGGAGGAAGAGGGATGGGATTTTCCACAGTAAAGCGGCGGTGGATCACGCTCTCTCGTATCTCGAGAACGGTAGTGAGATCGATGGTGAGATCGTTTGTGAAAAATCGCTGTGATATCGATACTGGTATCTGGTGTGAGATCGACAATAATATCGATTGTGAGATCTGTTGTGATTTCGGTCGTGAGATCGATCGTGAGATCGATAGTCAGATCGATAGTGAAACCAGTAGAGAGATCGTTAGTGCGATCGTTAGTTGAATCGTTCGTGAGACCGGTCGAGAGGTCGATCATGATATTGAAAGTGAGATATATTGTGAGACCGATAGTCCGACCGATAGTGAGATCGATTGCGAGATCGGTGCTGAGATCGATAGTGAGATCGATAGTGCAAGGGGTATTGTGATCAGTCGTTTGGAGTCGAATGCGGGGTCGCATTTATGTTGTGTGAGCTCCATCGCGGCTGTGTCGCCTTCATTACAATCATTATTATCCATTCTCACCATGAGCGTCATCGTGCAATGTCGCCATCCCATCGCCATCGCAGTCATCGCAGTTATTGTCTCGATTTTCCGTTTCCCCCCCAACCTCCTTCTCACCCGAAGTGTGGTCGTATAGGTAGATCTTGACATTGCTTTAGAAACGCCGCATGGTTTTGACTGATTTGACATGTGCGCGCGGGTTTCCGACGGGCTTCTGACAAAATGCATTTGTTCGGTTAACGCTTGTGCACCGGATGATATTTGCTGACAGCGATGAAAGTGGATTGACGGATAGGGCGTCGGCTGGTACGATACCAATCTACTTTTCAGGTCAAGATGCCACACGCAGAGGCGAGGGGACAGATTTGGTCTCGGAAGGGGGTATATTCGATTTCAACAGTAATGGAAAATCAGGGGTGCAGGCTGTGTGGTGCTAGCTATGGTGTGCAAGCTATGTGGTGCAATCTGCGCGGCGCAACGTGTGGAGTGCAGTTTACTTGGTGCGCGCTATGTCGGGCGAGCTGTGGAATGTAATCTATGTCGTGCAGACTGTCGTGTGCAATAATTGCGGTGCAAATTATGTCCTGAATTCTATGTCGTGCAAGCTATGAGGTGCAAATTGTAATTTGGAATATTTGTGGTGTAATCCATTGAGTGCAATCTATGTGGTGCACGCTATTTTGTGCAAGCTATGGGTGGCAATTCCCGTTGCTCAATCCATTGGGTGTAACCTGGCCAACGTAGGCTATGTAGCGACATCCATGCGCTTGAAGCTGTCAGCTGAACGTTGCGGGGTGTAATGCACGCGGTGCAAGCTGTTTCGTGCACTGTATTTGGTGCAAGCTGTGCGGTGCAATCTGTGTTGTGCCATGCGCTGTGTAGGCTATGGGTGCGCCCCGAAACCCGAGCCAGCGCGCGAGGCGGCGACGAGGCGGCGACGGGCGGGCGCTGGCCGGCCTCCGGGCAAACTCCGCCAGCGCACACGGGGCGGCGACGGGGCGGCGATGGGCGGGCTCCTGGGTGCACACCCGGCAGGCCCGGCCGGGACCCCCGAGGCGGCAACAGGGCCGCGTGAGGCGACGACGGTCGAGCAGTGCGAGATCTTAGGGCAGACGCAGCCGGCGCTCGAGGCGGCGCCGAGGCGGCGACGGGCGAAGACCTGGCAGAAGCCAGGCCCGCGTGCATGGGCGGCGACGAGGCGGCGAGTGGCAGGCACTGGTCGAGCTCGCGGCAGTCCCAGCTGATCATGTTGCCGTTTTCTCACTCCTTGTCTTGCCGATCGGCGCGAGCCCCGCGGCCCCCCCCCCTCCCATCGACCAGATCTTCTCGGATGCAACTCCTGGGAGGTCAAATTCTGTTTTCGCCCTGGCCCGAAATCCGGCTTACTCCAGCTTCATCCCGCCTAATCCGGCTCAATCCCGCTCAATCCCGCTTACCCCTGCTTTGTCCGAGGCCCATTCCGGCGCAACAGCTCCCAAATGGGGTTTAGTCCTCCTTATCCTTCCGACGAGAACCTCCCAGGAGTTGCCTTCTAAGAGCTTGGTTGCTCCTGGCGGCTGCCTCTGGCGGCTGCTTCGGGCGCCCCCACCTCCAGTCGGCTGGCGCGACTGGAGAAGAAGCAGATCGCCAGAGCGCCGGCCCAGACCCAACCCCCTCCCCACCCTTCCCAGGAGGGAAAAACAAACACACAGAGACACAAGTAATCGTCGCTTCCCCAGAAGATGTGGGAGAACATGGGAAGTGCGGGGGGAAGGCAGAGTCCCAGAAAACATGGGGAAGTATGAGGATCTGGTTATTTGTGTCTATTTCTTTGTGTGTCCCAGTTTCCCTTCACCTTCCCCCAACCCTCGGCCAAGTGTCGAAACCGCCCTCCGCTCTTGCAGCTGTTGGAAGATTCTCAGACGAGTCTGCGCGGCGCTGTGCGGGAGCCACACATGGAAGAAGACCCACCCTCCGTGCGTGTTGCTGTCGGAAGCTTCGAACACGAACGTGCGCGGCGCTCAGTCTAGGAGCTACATCTTGAAAGATGACCCCCCCTTGCGTGGAAATCTCGTGATGTTTAAGGGTACCGTGGGTTTTGAAAGCCACCCGCCCTCCATGCGTGCTGCTCTCGGAAATTACAGTCAACCCCCATAGTAAGGATAGGCACCCTTCGCAAGGGTACCCATGCATCCTTGCCTCCTCGGCCACTTTCGCTGGTCGCGCCACGCTCGGAAAGCTTGGGAATGGCTTTTCCAAGGCCCTTGCATCCTTATCGCGCATCCTTACTATACGGGCTGACTGTAGAATCTTCAGGACCATAGGCGACGAGGAAGTCTTACGCTAAACGCCCAACCCGCCTTAACCGTCACGTCCGGTGGCGCGACGGGGAGGGGCCGCTGATGAAGAGAAAAGGAATGGGAGGCGAGGCCCAGTGGGAGGAGTTGGATTCGCAGCGCTCTTGGCGGGCGGCGGATTCATGGAGGCGGCGTGTTTCTGAACACTGCCGTTGATTGACGTTCGGTGATGCCGTTTTGATTATCTGTTCGCTCTGCAGTTTCAGCGTTGGGCTCCAGTGTAGTGCACGGGGCCGCAACACGCGACGGAGTCAGAACAGTGTGCGCCCCGCACGCGTTGTTTTTCAGCAGGCTTGATTTTGCTGGTGGTCATGAACGAAGGGAGGTTCTGCATCAATCCGATCTTCCCGGGGCTGATGCAATTCGAACATAATGTGCTGGACAACCACACGAAGCGGCCGTGGTACTGCGCAGACTCGAGTGCAATTTGGAGGTTCCCTTCTGTACTAGATATATTATGTTGCCACTGTTGTGTTTTCGGGCGCCCTCATTGATTCTGTGTCGTCAGCATTGTGGCCTATTGTAGGACAGAGCGTCGGGTCAACCAGTAGATACATCACGACACGTACGTAGCGGAGCATGCACGATAGCGGGCAGACGCGTAGCGGAGTAATGACGATAGAGGGTCAGTCGTACAGAGATGGAGAGGTACAGAGAGGCAGAGAGACGAGTCATATACACATAGACTGATATCTATACATATTTACATACGTTTATATCTTTACAGGCAGATATGGACACATATAGAATTAAGCAAAGCAACTTCAGTACATACTTATGTGCATGCATGTGTGCCCATGTATGCAGATAGGCATTCACACAACAATTCGCGCAAACGTACACGTATTCTGACACACGCAACGCTGCATGTCTATGTAAGGGCATAGACAGTATACGCCACACATTTGTATACACATGTTTCTATTTCCGCAACCACGCATTTATGTACACATATACACAGGTGTACGTGTGTGCATACGCAAGATGTCAAGAGAGCGCTTCGCACGCAGAGTTTGAGGGCCCAAGAGGCCATTGGAAGCCAGAAGGCGAGACACCACACAACACTGTTTCCTGAGGTTTTGACAGGCATCTGGCTTCTCGGGGGCATCCTTGGCAGGCGCCGTGGCCACTTGCATCCGTCTTGGGGAGGTCTCGGGGTGTCTTGGAGCATATTGGCCATCTTGAGTGATCTTGCGCTGTTTCGAGCCATCGTGAAGGTCATCTTGAGGTCTCTGTGGCTCTTACGGTACAATCTTGAGCCATTTTCCACGCACTGGCCGCTTGCGGGGCGCTCTGTCCAGAACCAAGGGGAGGGGGTAGCAGGAGGGGTCAAGACACTTCCCCCAGACGCAAATTGTTAGTCTCACTCCCCTTCGCCCTCCCAACACAGAAGTAGGACCCGAGTCTCAGTATACTCAGCGGTCGTCTTCGGACGGGCAGCTACTGGGAACCAACTTGGGCCCCAGGTGCGCGACGCTGGGGCGAGGTGCGCCATGCGTGCCAGGCGCGCCACGCGCACCAGACGCGCTAGGCGCCCCTGGGGACGTGCGCCAAGTGTGCCACATGCTGCAGCCGCGTCAGGTGCGCCACGTTCGGGGCACGCGCAGAGTGTGCCAGGTGCGCCCGCGCACATCGAGAAACATGTCGGCCCTGAACGTTTTTGAAACTTGATGTGTCGTCGCAGCGGGGTGGCCGACATTGTGTATGGTGGGCCGGCGCACAGCAGGCATTATGCCAGCACCCCCGCCGTCTGTGTCGAACATGCAGTGCAGAGTGATCGCCAGGTGCCAGCACATGGTCCAGATTTAGCCGCGAAGTGCAGGTTGCATCTGCTGGCCCCCCGCTGTCCTTATACAAAAACAAAACAGCGGGCTCCTTGGGCCCCCGAGCATGACCCAAGATTTTGGCGCTCGTGTATTCTGCATTGTTTTTGTCATTGGTGGCCAGGGGGTGCCCGCATTAGCGCTGGTTCGTCGCTGGTCGGGTGTGGAGGAGGGGGTATATATCAAGAAGGGCAGCGATCCGCCCCTCCCCGAAGGGGAACAAGGGTGGGGGAAGAGGAAGCGCGGTAAACTATGTCCGCCCAGATCGCTGGTGGGATTTCGATATCGCCTGTGAGCGCTCAGCTCCCCAACGCAAAGTCCGACACTCGTTGGACGCCCCCTCTCGTCGAGGCTTTTGTCCGTGCAAACTTTGTCAGACGTGCTGTCTTCATGAGTTTGCCATCTGGCGGCAGTGGATCCTTTTGAGGCTCGGTTTGTTTGCTTTACAGCGGTCTAGCGGCACCAGTATCAGCATATTGCAAGATTCGCCAGGTTGTTGTGCCCGCTCGCCGCTGGACGGCTCGTGTGGACTGTTGTTGTTTGTTGTTTTTTTTGAGCGCAGCTATGCTTTTTAACCTCCTTTGACTGTTCGTCCCCGAGGTTTGCAAAGTTGAGCAGGGTTAGGTGCCTTGTGTACGCGGCCCGCGCTTGAAATCCGACCGAATACGTCATCCGTAGCACATATGCGTGGTATTTCTGTCTTTCCATGCGGGGCCCGACGGAGCTGGGTGGAGCCGACGAACCCCTGTTGGCAAGATTGTGTGCATCCAGCTGCCAGAGCAATCCCCACCGCCATGCCAGCGCAGCAGCGCAACATGAACGAGGTTGGGTTTCAGACCCGCTCGTGGTCAAGGCCTCCTGTCTGAGCTGGCGCGTTCCTGGCACGCCTTCTTCATTGGCTGCAGCCTTATTATCCTCCTCTTTCCTGGTTTCTCCTTCCTTGTTTTCCCATCCCCCTTCCGTGGGCTTTGAGGCAGACTGGTCTGATGCGAGGGCTTTGCAGGAGCCGTCACGTTGTGCAATCATTATGCTGATGCTAGCTGGCACCGTGCTGCTGAGTGCCGTAGTCCGTCCGTTTGTCCAACACCGTTGCAAGATTACTTCGATGGGGGTATTCCGTGTCATTTGCACTGCGGTTGCATGTCCAGGTTCGCACATCAAAGTTGATGAACACAATCCTCTTTACCCCCTGAGACTGCTCCACAGACCGCGAGCCACTGCGCCCACACCTCACACCAGCCCTCCCCGCTCGGCCCCCCGGCTGTGCCGAAAGCTCGGGCGCGCCGCGCTGCCGAGCCTGGGGCCACGCGCGCCAACTCAGCACGGCATGCTCGTGCCGCAACGACCCTGGCGTCAGTGCCCGACGCTGCGGGGATCGTTCGATTTGAGCGACGGGCGGCCTTTCGATCGCCGGGTCGTTCTTGAACACCCGTGGCGGAGTCGTTGCCGCGCCGGAAGGGCGGAAGCCTGCCGCAGGCGGCCGCGCAGTGCCCAGCGGCTCATGTTGGCCCCACGGTGGGCCGGCAGACCAGGCATGCCGAGCTTCCTGCCACGCGCGGCGAGTCGGTGCACACGTGGTGCGCGTTGGAGGCTTCATCCGCATCTTGGCGGTGCGCCCTCAGGTTACCGTCGCCCACTTGCGAGCGTGAGGGACGGTCTGCGGGGCTGACCTTGTCTCGGCGAGGGTGTTCACCCCCGTTTTGGGCCCAGGCGCCTCCACAAGCAAGCGTGTTCCAGCCTTCCAGTCTTTGCGCCAGTACGATCCTTCCCTCCTGGCGCCGTGGGGAGGGAGTTCGCAACAAGTGCGACAAGAGCAGGAGGGGGGCCAGGAGGATGACGCGACAGTGTCATAAACAGGCGTGGCGGACAGGTGGGAGACGGGGAGGCAGGGAACTGTTTGTCTTCTGCCGTAACACCTCACGCTTCGGGGCGCGCTCCCGCCTCGCCATCACCGTGGTCGCTTGGGCGGTGGGGTGTGGTCAGAGCACCCGCGCCTCTGGGATTACGGTGGCGCCAGCTGGAGCCAGCTTGGCCTGTCACCCTCCCTGTGGTCGCAGGGTGGTTGTGGCCACTGAGGGGGGCGCTGCAGAAAAGGGGTGGCAAACAAGGTTGGGCCCTGGCGAGCGCTAGGGCGCGGACGGGGGAGCAGGCGGGGAACGGCAAGGGAGGCGGGATATAGAAGGACAGAGCGGCAGGCGAAGGGGTGCGGCGGGGCTTTGCCCAGGAGCCAGAACAAGGTGTCTCCAGTAGACCTTGCGTGTTGAAGGAGTAAAAGAGATCTTGGCAACTCACGGCTGGGACTCCCTGCTTCAGCTTTCGCTGCACTTCCTTACCTGGCTTGATTTGTTGGGGTCCCTGGGGCTGGAGTTCTGGCGAAAACGCTTAGTTGTTGAATAGAGCATCGCCTCGAGGAAGTCAGGGCACTCGACGGCAGTATTGGCCAGTTCTCGGCCCGATCTGCTTGGCGCCATCGATGGCTGAAGCGGTTGAGGTGGGGCAGGCCTTTTCCTCCGTGTCGGGGCGCAAGTTGCTTGCCCCCCTTCCCGGTGCGGAGGGAGCGGCGACTACGAGCGCCAGGCCCGGCGGAGAATTCCCTGTTTGATGACCGCCCTGATACTTTGGTTCTCAGAGGCGTACTTTTCTTACTACTACTACTACTACTACTACTACTACTGCTGCGGCTACTACTACTACTACTACTACTACTACTACTACTACTACTACTACTACTACTACTACTACTACTACTACTACTACTACTACTACTACTACTACTACTACTACTACTACTACTACTACTACTACTACTACTACTACTTTGAAACAGTTGGTTTCGGGACTTGCACAGCGTGTCAGGCGTAGCGGTGCCTCGGCAGCACAGGCTGTGATCTGCAGGTGGCACTATCGTTCGCAAAAGCGTGGTCCGCGAGAGGTTTCTCGCCACCACTTGTGTGTGTTTTTGTTTGTTTGTTTGTTTGTTTGTTTGTTTGTTTGTTTGTTTGTTTGTTTGTTTGTTTGTTTGTGTGTTTGTGTGTGTGTTTGTGTGTGTGTGTGTGTGTTTGTGTGTTTGTGTGTGTGTGTGTGTGTGTGTGTGTGTGTGTGTGTGTGTGTGTGTGTGTGTGTGCGTGTGTGTTGCGGGGGGGCGCTCTGCGTGTCGGGCCCGCCAAGCGTGGCAGGCGTGGCTGTTCTCCGACACCATGGAAGCTAGCGACGGGTGGGGGCGCTATCCGTTTCCGTCTCGCAGCGCGCGGCAGGCGTTGCTGTTTCTCGTTCTCGAGACAGCAGGGGACGATTTTGCAGGGGCCTAGCTGCGGGCGGGGGTACCATTCGTATCGTGTTCGGAAAGCGTAGCAGGCGTGGCCGTTTCTCCACACCGCAAAGGGTTAGTGCTCGAGGTTGGGGGGCTATCCGTGTCGGCTCGGCGACGCGAGGCAGATGTGGCCGTCTTTCTACACCAGACGGGGGGCGCAGGGAGTGGCCTCTAGGCGTGCCCAGGCCGGTCGTGCGCAGGGGGTGGTCTCTCTTTGCAGGTCTCTTCTGCTTGCTAGGGTCGGAAAGCGTGGCAGGCGTTCAGTTTCTTGATGCCAGAGATGGTGCGCAGGAGGTGGTC